GTTTAACATAACAGCAAACTTATATTAAAGTTTTTCTTCATTACCCATTCAAGCCGTCTCCAACCATTATTAGTCTCAAAGTGGGTTCCTCGTCATCGAATTTGAACACATGTGAAAAGTTTAAGAGAACGAAAGTTGCAGTTTGTGCTGATATGATCATATAAGCCATCCTTTAAATAAACAAGCATACAAAGTTTAAAATTAACTGTAAATAAAAGGTAGAGAACTTCTGTAATAACACTTATTCTAGTTAACCATCAATGAAAGCTAATAAACTCAGGAGTTTTGCATTGCATGTAGGGAATCCAGCAGAAAATAACCTTATGCAAGGAGGTTCATTCCGGTGAAGTTTTTCGGGCTGAGGCCCCATAAAAAGAAGGGGCTAGAGAGCAAAGCCCTCTTGGCCGTTTCGAGATTATAGAGAAAGATGTTTAGTTATTAACTTTTGAAATTTGTTATTTCCTAATATTTCTTATTTGTCTTTTTTGTTCTTCTCTTAATTTCAGTTTGGAAAAAAATAAATAACAATTCTGAGGAAAAAGCACTACGCAGCGTCCTTATGGTTTATTATTAACAAATATTCGTTTGTAACTAAGCGCAAAATTACACAAAGGGCTATCTGTGTTAGGCCCAATAAGTCGAAAACTTTGGTGTCCACGTACAGCATGTTATAAATATTCATATTGATATTTCTGGTTAAACTAATGAATGAATCGACTTGTATCAAGTCGATTCATTGAATGTACTATTTTTAAATGTATTTATATTCTACCTACTGTTTATATAAACTTTCTTATATTTAGTTTAATGATTTTAGAGAACTTTTGTTTTATTGTGGTGATTCGATTTATGGACGATATGATTATATAGAGATTCACATTGTCAAATGAAATATAAAACTCTTCTCTCCTCCCAGTAAAATCTACCTAAATAGCTTACCATAGTTTGCAGAAGCATCTGATCAAGCTTCGTGACAAGGACTTTGAAGGAGGGCCTGTCATGAGGATTCTCTCTCCAACACATGAGCATAACGCTATACCTATTAATATTAATGGAACTTCATGCTGAGTTTTGATTGATTATTCTAGAACCAATATCTTATCAAAATGTTATTATAACTGTAGAGTTTTTACATTCATGTCTCGATCTATAAGGATTATATAAGTTAGCAATCTAGCAATGCATAATTTCAAAATTCTAAGAAGTGCTAGGAGAAAAAACTTTTCTTCAGAAATGGTACTTTTATTCTCATTTCCCAATCTTTTAGTTACTCAGTCCATAACAATTATATTAACAAATGGAACTGTAAACAAAATATGAATTTTTAAAACACTTACATTAGATTTTTTTATAATCTAAAGTTTGCACAGACAATTTTGCGAATGTAACTTCCGCTTGAGAAATATCATAAAGTTATAATAAAATGTCAGTTCAACACGTATCAGACTAGTAAAACATATAATTTGAACATTTTTATCGGGGGGGGGGGAGCAAGCCAAGGATCTACTACTAGAATGCTCAGCATACTGAATATCTATTTCTATTCATTAAGTAGTATGACACTGCCATAGTTTAATTATATCAATAAAACAATAAACTTTAGCCGACTCAGAAAAACTAGTAATGGTACTCAACAATAAACTTTAGCCGACTCAGAAAAACCACTAATGATACTCAACAATAAACTTTAGCCGACTCAGAAAAACTAGTAATGGTACTCAACAATCAACTTTTAACACTACTTTATATTATGATAGAAAGTAGAACACATGCTTCTAAACTGTAATTCTATAAGTGTAAATTGTCATCACCTAAGTGTTGTGTAGAAATGCAGTCATTCAGATATTTATTTATTTTTATTCTACATGAAACAAATACCTGTTAAGTTGTTGATGTAAAACGGCACGAGCTTTTAAAATTCGTCAAAAATCACCAATTTATTTTCATAAGTAATCATTTAAGAATTTACTATATGCCTGATATTCACCTGATTCTCTTACATCATCTTTAGAATTAGTAAAAACAAAGTAAAAATATAATACATATGGAAACAATACACTAACATAGTTTCACTTCCTAAAAGGAAGAGTGAGCTCTGAAGTATACGTATAAAGAAATTATCTTGAAACTTACAGTTCGTCTGAGCATGCGTTCGGTTTTTCCATCCGATAACCGGCCTTTAATAACTGAAAGAGTCTTTCGGGTGTTACACCTGGGTAGGGTGTTGCCCCTGTGGGTGAGATGTATAACACATTCTTCATTCTTTGCAATTAAAAAAAAAAAGATGTATTGTTTCGTTTTCAAAAATGAATATGACATAGTGTCTCAACGGTAACTGGGCCATGAAATTATGTGTATCTTTAATTTATATAAGCTACAAACCGTAATTCCACACTTATGCTTTACTAGTTTCTACTGTCATGGTCTGTATTTCTTCATGTGTTCTTGGTACTATTAGCAGTAATTTAAATAAAAAAGGCATTTTTGTTTTCTTAGAAGGAGAAACATAAAATATAAAGAAGTTCAGAAACTATTTGTTAATTTGTAAAGTTCCTAGAGAATAGAAAATAAAGCTTTTATCTTAAATAGAAATATGAAAGTTTATGATGAAAACAATTTGTTTATTTTTTAGAGCAAAGCCACATTGGACTGTTTGCTGTGACCACTGCGGAGAATCGGACTCCGGTTTTTAGTGTTGTAAGTTCCGTAGATTTACCTCTGTCCCACCAGAGGGCAATTAAAATACAAAGTATTATATTCGCAACATTTTCTCTATTATTTGTACCACAATAAGACCAAAATAAATATATTTTATACATGGCAGTATGCTAATCAGAATAAATACATGGATAGTAAATTGCAAAATTCGAAACAAAACATCAGAGGAATCGTAAACCAGTTTCTTCTATAATGATGCATTTGTTTCTTGGAGGTTCTTGAAATTATAAAAGGTTTTTAATAATAATGATATGAACTGGAGATACTACTTATATAAACTAGTGCCATATTTCATATAACTTGAAAACAATCAAAATCAGAAACTGGAAATAAAATTATTGTAATATGTTTTGGGGATAGACATTGTTATAAACTGGTGTATTGCTTGATGCTACTTGGAGATAATCAAAGTATAAGCTAGAAATAATCAAAATAATTATCATATCAACTGGAAATAAGACACAGATTGATATTGGAGTTAATTATAATAAAGATAAGAAATATGTATCATGTAGGTTAAGGTTGATTGTATGATTTATATATAACATTGTAGAAATAAATATTTGACTTAATCTTGTAAATATTAAAATCAATTATGGCAAATACTGAATATATTTCCGATATATCGAACTGATTTCTTATAGCTTGAACGTAAGAGTGTAAGATTTTTAGATATTTATAATAATCATTGTAATAAACAATTTATAAAAATATATTTCATCCTGTAAGGTTTAAAGTTCATAACCGGATGAAATAAAATGGTTAGTTTAAAAGAAAGTTTAAACATTCATTGCAGAAAAATAATTTACCAGTATATTATTTGACAACAATAACTGCTTGATACGAGAGTTATAATGTACGGTATGATCTGGTACTCTATGCTGTCACATTTCTAGTAACATGTGGTATTACAGCTAGCATGATTGTGTGCCTGTAGTTTAGCCTAATAAATCTCTTTCTCACATGCGTATTTATATAACTGGTTCATTATTGTTTTAATTAACACTGATGGTTCTCATTGTTATAAATTAATATTAATATTGACAAGGCTCTAGTTAGATATCTCAGTGAAAGTTCTTGAGTCTTATAATACTTATATATAATGTTTTAAATAAATTTTTCTAATACTTATACAAGATTTATAATATTGAAAGCAAGTACGTATTATTCGAACCTTCTTAAATAATACTGAATGGTCCTACTTACCTAACGTCGCAATCTCCCATAGAACGACACCAAACGACCACCTAGAAAATACACATTTTTTTTTATCGTTCCAATGTTTAAGTTTTATTTCGATGAAACTTAAACAAATGAAGCTGGTGAAAAAATATTTAGGAGTAGAAATAAAGCAAATAATAACAGAAAGAAAAAAAGAAACTGTGGAAGGAAGAAGATGACGAGGAAGACGTTACAAGATATAAAGCTTAATAATAGTCAATTCAGATGATAGTTTTAGAAAAATTAATTAATCTTTGGTTACAGAACTTTAGTTACATTTACTAATACAATAATACTGTTGTGGTTAGATAAAATCTTCTTCAATACTCAGTGGTCACTATGTTTGTTTCTCAGTTGCTCCACATGAATGTAAATGAAATCATCTTAATAAACAAATAAAGGGATAATGTAGGGGGATTTAACGAAAAATAAAGACGACATCGGTCAATACTACGACGTAGTTTTATGTCATTAGTTGTTTTTTTTACGATTCCAGTACGTTGTAGTTCGAAGATGAAGCAGACAAACTGGCACTAATAATTCTGTATTTTAGTTGTTAATTACGTTTCTTTTTGGCATATAAACTTTTGTAAATTACTGTGAAGGCTTTACCTGGTTACAGAGCATGAGAAAGAGTAGCATGTAATATTTCATTCGGTTTTTATTATTGCGGAGAAATGATCATAAACATCCGGGTTTCGCCCGTGGTGGGCAGAGCACAGATAACCCGTTGTGCAGCTTTGTGCTTAATTACAGACAAACAGTATAGTGACACGAGTGTTTTCACTTTGTCGTCAACACCCAGAAGTTTTAGGGATAAAATTAATGTGCTGGTAGAGTCTTAAAAAGGCTTTGAACATTTGCAGCAATATTCCTTTTTTTTAAAACGGGAAAACAATGCAATAAAGAAAATAAGGAAACTAGTTGAGCCAAACAAAAAATGGAAAAAAAGTTTCATGCATGGCCTGTTTAATTCTCATAATAAAATTACAAACTTACGCCAAATAAATGAGCTTTTCTAACCCTGACTTCTTGAACGAACATATAATATATATATATATATACAAATGATCCCTCGTTGTTATCAAAATAAATTGTATTGAATTACCTAGATTAGTAAAAGTAGGGCTCCTTCGGTTGCCATAATATTAAAAGTATAGCACACATTAATTTACAAAGCATACTCAATTTTTTTAGAAATGTAATCTAGGACCGGGTGTAGTCTAGTGAATGTGAATCAGAGGATATATGTTTGCGTCTCATTACTTCTATTAATCAAAACCTTCAATAACTTCCTCAATGTTCTTCTAGTAATAATGCCCAATTTAATTTGACTTAAGTAGTTGTTCTTTCCCCCATACTTTTATTCTAGCTCCATCTAAATATTTCCACCCTCTTTCCTACAGTTTTCCAGTTGACCAGTGTGACCACTATTCTATCTTTTCCTGTTCCCTCAGTCTACATTCTATTTCACTCATTCCGAAACATTACCAGGCTGTACCTCACTAGATAGGTAGTCCACGTTTTGTTCAATCCCATGCTAGACTTTAATATAGTTAGCTATTAAATGAGCCTTCAAGTTTCTTAAAGTTTTTCATGATCTTCGTTCTTACTGGTGAACCAAACAAGTACGTTTTCATTTTCTTGATATTCTGCTCTGAATGTACTGAATCGCAAAGTTTTTGCCATTGACCATTCAACACGGTTACAGCCTATGAAGTCATGCCTTTTTTAAATATGCCAATGTAGGGTGTCTACTCGTATGTACATTCTATGACCTCAGCTGTGTTAACCTATCTTGACCTTTCCCTCCACATCCAGCTGCCAAACTTCATTGTGTTTAATTTGATTTCATTTGCCTCGATCTACTCAATACTATTGTTTCAGTGAACATAACTCATTTACATTTTTCTTTGTCTCACTGACCCATTACTTGACTGATTTAAGTCTCTGTATTAATGCTTCGTCTGCCCTTTCTCCTAAGAACTGATATAGTGAATGAGATATGGATGAGGTTGCTCTGAGTAGCTTAGTACTTGGTTGGCTAAACTCCTTTGTCTTGTTTTTCAAACCAAAGAAAACGCCTGGGTTGTTCGTTTGGCTGCTCCTGTTGCTATTTTCATGGTTGCAGGTTTCATTCTGCACCCTCTGTAACTTGGTCTTTGATGATGCTTCTCCTTTGCTGCTCTTTCTGGGCTGCACCATATCTGAGAAGGGTAAAATTATTCACTGATTTCTCTCTCAGATGATTCCTGTTTACAGCCATTGTCACTGTGGTTCATCACAACATCCATAAAAGTGACAGCTTTTTTATGTAGAACTTTTGTATCTGCATATGTCAGCGTGAAGAGAGGGAGAGGTGTCAGAGGGAAACCTGGTAGCCGATATCCAACAGACTTTATATGGTTGGGTGGCCATTTGGTTTTCAACAATTCCCTGACAGACTGGCTTCTTAGTGATATTCTCACTTCCATTGGTGTGTATGAGATTCCTGCCACAATTATGGTCAAGATATTGTGTCACTCCAGGGCCTTTCTAATGTGTTGATCACATCAAAAATGTATATGTTGAAGAGGACAGGACTCAGCAGGATCTTTGTTGTAAGCCAGAGTTGATTTTTAAAAAAAAGTTAAGAGCTAAATTTGCCAGCTTTGAGTTAACAACGTCTGATGTCTAGCGTAGCTAACAACAAATCATATGAGAATATCCGAAACTTCCAGAACCTTTAACCTCGTTGCCAAAATACCCATACCCAACTGACTGTAAGCATCTTCAAAGTCAAATAGCCTGACTGTCTCGATAATTATGATGTCTGCATATATTGCTGGATGCTGTGTGTGACTGTCTCGATAGTTGTGATGTCTACATACATTGTTGTATGCTGTATGTGACTGTCCCGATAGTTGTGATATCTCCATATATTGCTGGATGCTGTGTGTGACTGTCTCGATAGTTGTGATGTCTGCATACATTGCTGTATGCTGTATGTGACTGTCTCGATAGTTGTGATGTCTACATACATTGCTGTATGCTGTGTGTGACTGTCTCGATAGTTGTGATGTCTTCATACATTGCTGG